CTACTATTATTATCATTGTATTATTATTATTATTATTATTGATGACGTTTTTGTTGTTATGACGCGTCGAAAGAAGCATAATAAAAAAAAAAGCAGCGTAATTCACAGATGCCTGGATGAGGCGACCAGAGTGTACAGGGAAGCAACTCAAGATAATCTGTCTCAACTCGAAAGTCGTATCTGTTGTGTCCCCTGGCTACCATTTTCTTACATTATTTTGTGCGTTCGCATATTATTATCCTACAAGATTGACAACTTATAAAAAGAGGGCTCATTTTTTACAGGCATGATATTGAAACAATCACAAGAAGACTGAGTTTCTATATCAGATCATGATCATTCGTTTATTTGGTATATATACAAGAACAGAAGAAAAAATATTCAAGTTGAAGCAGAAAAAATGGAAACATCCGATTATGATGGCACACGTACTTTGTACCGCGAAAATGTATCATGACAGAAATATTGTGAACGAAAGAGTGAGGAAGGGGGGAAAAAGTTAACATAGAATGAAACGGTAATTACTGAAAAAAAAGCTGCATTTCATATTATGGCAGTGCTTGTTGCATAAATATTCTCATGAATGTCAACAAAACATTAAATTACACACTGCTGATCAGTTGTAACGCTTATCCCATATATATACATTTGAGATGTTCTCAATACGATTCTGAACAATCCTGAACCTACCGTTCACAATAGAATCCTGTACTCTCAGCTTGGAGAAAGTGAACCATTGTCATCTTCAGGATAAACTGTCTCATAACCTTTTGTGGACTATAACTACCACATTGCACGTACAAAGTTGTACTAATCAGATGGCGTCATATTAATGGAACTGGGCAAGGGTAAGAAGTCTGTACACATTCTATTGCTTCGAAGCAAAATCAAATTGGTAATATTCCCCTCCCTACCCCCAATCCCTCTTCCTCATCAAAATCGCTTGTCATATAAGTGTTTTTTCTTGAAATGGTGAATGTACGAACCCAATCGTCACGATATAAATCATTTAGGAGGCAGGCTTTGACCGTGATTATCTTTGCCAAACAAGGCTGGGAGGGACAGAGCATCTCAGCAGAAAGACCGAGATACTCGATAAAAATTCTGCTCACTCGGGAATCGAACTAGGATCTCCTGTGTGCGACGGCCAAGCTTGCAAACGCTTCATCACAGACACTGGTTATCCATAGTAGAATAACCTCAGATGTACAAGACTGGATACTCTTACATACACTCTCCTGCAGCGTAAAATCTCAATACTCATTTAATAATGCTTTTATCCTTATGGGAAAAGAACAAAAGTTCTTTTAAAAATCTTAAAGAAATAGCGTTTGAACGAATTCCTACATACCGGTAGTTAAAATTAAATTGAAAATACTGTTTTCTAACTTAAACGATAGCACTTATAAAGTAAAAGTATTGGATCACTTCCAACGATAACAATGCACATCAATTTCAATGGCTCAAAAGGAAAAAGAAAAACTGCAGGAATTCTCGAGAAAGAATTGATAATTACAGATGATCTGTCAAGTCTTCCAGACTTTGAGAGTGTTGTGTGAGAAATGAAACTGAACTGACGCTTAGCTCTGCAAGCATAAAATTGAAAATTACCCAGATGTAATAGCGCATTAAAAATAATACATAAAATTCATTTCAAGTGTTACTCAGCTGGGGGGGTTTTTTACGAAGTTTTACGCCATTTCAGATATAGCATATGACATTGCGAAGGTATTTAGAATTCTTCATTAATCACTCTCTAAAACAAACTTTATTTCGTTTTGTAGTGTATACAGACGTTTAAAAAATACGTCAAAATTAGAAAATGAATTCTTGGAAAATAGCTTTTGAAATAAAAGGTAAAAATGTAATCAGGAACTAAAAGTAAAGAATTACATACGATTCCAGAATATTACATTTTTTCAACAACACAAACAGGTGAACTGTTGGCTTTTTAAGAAAAAAAATTGGCTAAAACTAGAGTAGTCTCTTCGGAACTGCATGAGATCAATACAAGTTTGAGCTGCTTATGAGTCATGGTCAACAATTTTGCACAATAAACTTACAAATAAAATTTCATTTTGAAAATGATCGCACCGGACATACTCAGTCTCAGTTAAAGTTTTGCAATATAAACTCAAATCACTCACACACACACACACACACACACACACACACACACACACACACACACTAACACACACACACAGCGCGCGCGGGCCTTTGCGCACATATACATACACACATACGTGCAAACACACATGTACAAGAAAACACACACTTAGTAACTATCTCTCTCTCTCTCTCTCTCTCTCTCTCTCTCTCTCTCTCTCTCTCTCTCTCTCTCTCTCTTTCACTCTCTTTCTCTAAGACACACACACACACACACACACACACACCTTACACACACAGACAGACACACACCCACACGAACGCGCATATGTACGTACACACACACACACACACACACACACACACACACACACACACACACACACACGAGTGCGCATATGTACGCACACACACTCCAAGACACACATGCAGAATAGATTCATCAGCAACTTACTCTGCAGATAATCATAATAATATGAAGATGTACAAACAAACAAAAGATGTAATATAAAAAAAATGATCTCTCTCAGATTCACAAAAGCAAAACGTAAATAATATGAACCTCTCAGCACCCCTCATTCATTTCCGTCACGACAACGATCGACCTTTCACCCTTGACCTTTATCGATCGCACTGTTCCGTAGGGGGGTGCGCCTTGTCGGGGTTGTAGGGCAGCAGGTTGGCTTCCTTGACCATGCTGTAGAAGACGGACTCTTTGTTCTCCAGGAGTTTCTCCACTGTGTCAAACTCGGAGATGCGCCCAGCGTCCAAGACAATGATCCTGTCGAAGAAAAGGTGAATATGAGAGTTTTTTTGTTTGTTTTTTTTAAGTAAGAGTTTTACGGCACTTGCAACGCAATAAAGTCATATAGTTGCCGAAGATTAGATGTGTTACAACAGAGTAACAAACACGAAAAAAGAAGTAGGGGAGATAAAGACGATAGAAGAAGCAAACAACACCAGAGCACCCGCCCACCACACACTGGTTATGAGTCATGACACGGTGGAATCGTCAAGTTTTGGTGGCGTCGGTGGCCTAGTGGTTAGGCTACCCGACTTGTAATCGTGAGAATGCGGTTTCGGGGGCTCGAGACTCTGCTTGGTCCGATGTCGTGTCCTTGGGAAAGGTACTTTACTTGAATTCCCACTTGGCTCGGTCTTTTCGGAGATAGACGTTAAACTCGGAGGTCCTGCCTCTTAAATAACCCTACAGAGTTGAAAAGGGCGGTAAACCTATACCATTTCACCATGTTTTTTCCTCCATTTTTTTTTTTTTTGGCGCACTGAGTTATTGACATCATCTTCAAGCGTGTTCATTTGCCTTGCTTTTGATGTAAAAACATCATCAATCGCGTATGTCCCTCTAAACCAGTCCTTGCCGTCCTAGGTAATGTCATCCACAAGTAGAAGATTGGTGTAACGTCGCAATGGAACCAGGCGCTCGTCACTGTTTTGGCATAATAATGAAGAGTTATTGGTATCATCTTAAAGCTTTTTCAGTTGCCTTCTTTTTGATGAAAACAGTCGAGGTATTTGTGACTGAAGAACGTGGGCGTCACTTGGTGTCAGAGGTAAAATTGGAGAGAAAAAGACCCCAAAGTTTGGTGACTTCTAAAACTTGAGTGTTCTTAGAAACTGCAAATTTACAATTTTTGTGTGCCTTTGATCAACGATTTTCTCAAAAAATCCCCTCAATAATGTATTTTAAATGGACATGCAGGTGTTGAGCCCAAAAACAAACAAGCAAAAAAAAAACCGATAAAAATTGCATTGCCCAACTGCTGGAAAATTTCACTTTCTTCGAGTTCATTAGTTTGACCAGTGCCTGATTTCACTACGATGCAACATACAATAATTTGATAATTTTGGTAAGCGCTAGGGATCACTTAGATTGTGACACGTATTATCTAATATCTCACTTGGAAACACGACATGTATGTGGGCAATACCAAAACTTTAGCCTCTTAAAAGAGGAAAAAGGTGGTCGCTGGTTATAAAATGGTTGACAAGCGTTGTTCTTAACTCAAACAATTGTATTATGTGAAAATTCTACAAAAAACAAGAGAAAAAAACGTAAGCAAACAAAACAATTTTAAAAAACAACCAAACACCAAAATCAAAACAAATGAAGGAACAAAACTAATGATTCATACTGGTAAGATACTCTTTTAACAGGACATGACTCAGAGCGACAATAAAAACATTAACAACAGCAACAACAACAACAACAGTAACAACAACATCAACAAACAACAAACAACAGTAAAACTTTTTACCGGTTACATGATTTTTTTCTAAAAGAAAATAATCTTTAACCAAAAACCTAACAACCCAAAAACAATAACAACAACAACAACAGCACACGTACACCCTCCCCCCTACACACACACACCCACACCCACACCCA